AAAAAATTCTAAAAAAAAAAAAAAAGGAAGAAGGTGGAAAGGGTTTTCGAGGCTGGTAGCTCAGACTGTTTCCATTGCTGAAACAACCTCGCTGAAATCCCTGGCGCCCCTGGGTGTGGGTTAGCACTCCTTTCCCCCACTCTCCAGGCACAGGGTGCTAACACTCGCCCTGACACTGCATTATCTCCAAGGTCATCCCAGACTGTGTCCAAAGCTCTTATACAACATGTGGATCAGAGAACACAGGCATGCACATGCACATGCACAGGAGAGAAAGGGAGAAAACAATTGCCCCATCGACAGGGTCTCGCCACGCCACGATCCCCAGCCCTCCAGCTCCTCAGGATGGCATGTGCCCACATGTGCACCCAGCTTGCTTTCTGGTTGGCCAAGGGATCTGGACTCATGGTCAGCCATGTGGCCTCTAGCACTGGAGTACAACACGGACTGTGCCACCTGGCGCGGCCTGTCCACGTCTTTATAAATGGTCTCTTCCTCAAATGCTCCACAGAGACCTTCATCTGAGTGGTCACCTGTTTCCTGCTGTGAGCTTGATGACACACTTAGGAGAGCAGGATAATATCACCTCCTGTATTTCTCAATCTTGACTCCCCCTCGTTTTTCTTCCTGTTTTTTTTAAGATTTATTTATTTATTTATTTATTTATTTATTTATTTTTGCCATAGGATGCATGTGCTCACAGAGAGAGACAGAGAAAGAGAGAGGAAACATGAGAAATCAACACCCCCATCCCTTAGGGGTATAGCCACACTGCAATCCCTTCTTCTCCATTTTCCTCTCCAGATTTTGGGCACGCACGCACATACTAAGTTTGGGACTTGAACTGCAGACTCAGCCATGTCAGATCCAGCTCTTTAGCCACCATGCCACCTGCTGACTCAACTTCCCCCAAATTTTAAAACAGTATCTCTTCTCAATCTTTCCACAAAGGGGGCGACAAAAGAGATTTTGATGTGACACTTAAGTTTCATGTCCCCATCTGAGACCCAGACTTGTCACTGGGCAGCCCCATGAAGAAGGCTCTTAAGATCCAGGCTCATGTAGCAGGTTGGTACAGTCCCTGCCAGGCCCCTGGACAGAGGCCCCTCTCACTGAGGCCCCAAGAGAAACCCAACCAGCACCCCAGAGCCACACTTACTTGCGCATCAGCTTCTTCACTTCCCGATCTTCTTCCTCTTGGAGCTTCTGGATGAAGCTTTTAAGGACAGGCATCTCAAACTTTATATACTGGGCCACCTGGGGAGGAAGCAGAAGGTCCGACTACATGCCCCACCCCAATTCCTTTGGGCCTCACTCACACAAGGCATGAAGCCTTGAGAACCTACTTTTCCACTAACCCAAAATTTTCTTAAAGGCAGGAGTCAAGCCTCATTCCTCTCCTGGCTAATACAGTTTGTAATGAAGATCACTTCGTTTATATGACATCAGCTCATAAATTCTCATTTTTCATCTTGTGTGTCCAGTCCATGATGAGGTGATGTATAATACAAGAAAGCACTTTTTTTTTTTTTAATTCAGTGATGCAGAGAATGAACTAGCCCAAGATATTTAAAAAGCAAACATTTGCTCTCTAAACTAAAGCTACTAAGATTTGAGGATATTTGTTACTGCAGCAAAAGCTGACTGATACACAAGATAAGTAAAATCCTTGCTAATTCTTTGACATTGTTAAGAGAGTGTTTGCAGAAATTTCTCAGCCATCTGACAATACTCCAGAAAGCCTCAAGAAATGTATTCCTTCCATAGAAATCACTTTCTGCCAGAACAATTTATCCAATAACTCTCTTGAGGCACATCCTCAATCTGACTTCAAGAAAACTGGGAATAGGGGCCTGATGGTGGCATAGCCATAACAACACTCTCCAGTGCTGGCCTCACTTGGGAAGATCCTCAGTTTGCATCCCAGGGCCTCCCTTACACATCTGTCACACTCGCATACCCATGAATCAGGCTGGCTGAGACTGAGGGTGGATCCTGGCATGAGGATGCTACTGGGGATGCCTGTCTCTGTCTGTCTGTATCTCTCTCACACAAAAGAAATAAATGAATACAATTTAATTTAAAAAAAAAAAAAAGACCCACCTGGGATTAAGGAATGGCAGTGAAAAGGGGCATGGTCCTTGCCCAGAAGTCATGCTATGGAAGTAACTCAACCAAATCCCCACCCCCTGAGGACAGACCATCCAACCATCAGAGACTCACATCATAGGTGACTTCCTCCACCTGGTCCTTCTCCATAAGGAACACTTTGGAGACTTGCTCACATGGGCCCTGGAGGATTCGGGCAATCAGGGGGTAATCGGTGTTCTTCAGCTTCTGTTTCTCTGGAACCACACACAACCAGGAACATCCCTGAGCTTGGCCTTTCTCTCCATAAGTAGTGTCCACTCAGGGGCCCACATGGGTCATGCACCTTAGGAGACGTGCCCATACAGGTCGGGAGGCTGACTTGTAAAGGAACTATTCAACAGGTGTTAAAAACAACCTCCTCCCACTCCCTTCCCCCAGCAAGAAACCGTGCCTTGAGCACTTTGGAAGATCTCACTTTGAGGAACTGGGTTTTTCTGTCTGGAGGAAATCCAGTACCTTTTTGAATAGGCAGTAAGGTTTGGGGCTTTGTTTACTGACCACATATGGCATTCCCCAGTGGCCTCATCCAGCCAACCCACCAGCCTCAGAGGCAAACATTTGAAAGTTTCCAGAACCCCAAACTACAAGCCAATGAAGCAGAGATACTTTTTTTTTTTTTAACTTGCTATTTCAAGTTAATTAGAAGTTTGAAAAGTACACTGTGTTCTTCGGACTTACCACCGCTGGTATGGACCACGTACAAAGCAAACTCCTCCGCAGAATTCTCAATCTGAATCAGGAGCAAAAGGTACTTGTTGAAAGGGCCATCCCCTCTTCTTTAACATTGCTAAGGTAGATAGATTTTAGGCACCTGGGCGGGGAAGACTCTTTGTCTATAACGCTCAGAGGTGATGAAGAGAGAGGGGTAGGCAGGTGGCTTTGTCAGTCCTAACAGATCCTAATAGCTAATGTTTACTGCAACATTCCAGACACTGTCCATACAAGTCACATGTTCTAAATCATCAGATTCTCATAACAACCCATAACAAGGTATTATCATCCTTTTTTTTATTAATAATTATTTTATTTAACTTTATTTCTTTATTTACTTTAACTTGACCAGAGAGGGACAGAATGAGAGAGAGCGAGCAAGACAAAAAAAAAGCAAGCCGCCAGGTCTGGTCCGGGACTCCAAATGCAGTCGGCCATGTGGGCATCCAGCGCTCTTAACCACCATTCCACCTGCCAGTCCCGAACATCCTGATTTTATGAGTAGGCAGCAGAAGCAGACAGAATTGGCTCCATTCACCCAACTAGCAGGTGATAAATAGGAGTGAGAACACGGAACCTGTGCTCTTAGGCAGCGAGGCTACACTATTAAAAATAGGCTACACTGGGCCAGCAAGTGGCACGGTGGTTAAGGCACGGAATCCTACACGGCCATTTCTGTGGTTCAAGTCCTGGGCCTGGTGGCTTGAAACACATGCATGTGTGTGGGTGTCCAAAATCCCGAGAGGAAAATAGAGAAGGGATTGTGGCATGGTTATCACATACCATGCACCACCCCTCCCCACTACCACAGGGTGATTTCTCACTTTCCCTCACCGTCTCTCTTCAGTGAGTACACATGCCCTTTGGGAAAAAGTCTAAAAACAAAAAGCAAAGAAAGCCACACTATTAAAAACAAGGATACAGACCCAGCCACAGCAATATGGGCTGCTGACTGCTCTGCAGGCTGGGACCACGTGGGAAGCCCAGGTCGGACTACAGTCCAATCTAAAGGACAGGGCAGTAGGGTATGCCTGTAATCCCTGGGACCTGACAGGCGGTGGCAGAAGGCTCATGAGCTCAGGACTGGCCTGGGCAACACAGTGAGACCTTGTCTGGAAAAAAAAGAAGGAAAGAAAAGAAAGAGCCAGGCACTGCTTGCATCTGTAGTCCCAACTGAGAGGCTGAGGCAGGATTGTCAAATGGAGAATTTATGTTTGAAAAAAAAAAGAAAAGCATATAGATGCTCCCCAACTTGTGAGGAAGTTACATCCCAGTGAAGTCACAATAAGTTGAAAATATTGTAATAGAGACCAGCAGTTGGCATAATGGCTATGTCGCTGGACTCCCATGTAGTCAACCACGGTTCGAGTCCCGGACCCGTAGCTTAAACTCACGCTAGGCATGTTGTGTGCATGCGTGCCTAAGATCCTGAGAGGAAATGGAAAAGGGATTGTGATGTGGTTATCCCCCATGGGGGGTGATTTCTTGCTCTCTCTCTCTCTCTCCCTGTCTTTCTGGTGAGCACACACACCCTATAGCAAAAACAACAACAAAAAAAAACCTTTCCAAAGAAAGAAAATACACGGTTGCTGGATGGTAGCACAGCAGTAAAATGCAACACACTGTGAGGCAATCTCACATGGGAAGGTTTCTGGTTCAAGTCCGGAGACCTCTCTGAGTACACCAGGCACACGCTTGCCCATGATCTAGGGTAGGCTACAGACTGGGGATGGATCGTGGCTTCAAGATCCTGTTTGGGGAGGGATCTCTTCCTGTCTCTGTGTCTCTCTCTGTCTCTGTTTTTCTCACTCATAGAAGAAATAATTTTTTAAGTTTTTTTTATGTTAATGCATTTAATATACACCTAACCTACCCACCATCACAGCGTAGCCTAGTCTATCTTAAATGTGCTCAGAACACTGAGCTTGGCCTACGCTGGGTAAACTCATCTAGTCCAAAGATAACTGTATAGCAAAGTGCTGAACGTCTTGTGTAATGTAGTGAATACTGTGCTGAAAGGGAAGAACAGAGGGGTTGTGTGGCTATTTGAAGTACTTTGAGGGGAGGGCTTCTACCAAAGGCACAGCTACGCTTCTACATTTGCACCGTCGTAAAGTCGGGCCCCGTCTGTACCTGGTCTCCGAAAGAATCATTGTGGAAAACTTCAAACGCGCTCGTGCACTGTAACCTGCACACCACGTAGGTTCCCAGCTGCATCTCCCAGTCAGTCTGAGCCCTGAGCCCTGAGCCCTGAGCCCTGAGCCCTGAGCCCAGAACCAGTCATCAAGCTCCAGAGTCTTGCTACGGCAGCCCATTAAGTACCAAGAGCTGATGCTTCCCAAACTCCATGAAGAGTCAGAAGCCCCCCGTAGGCCTTGCTATGATGAATGGGCTCCCTGCCCGCTGCCTCCCGCTGGCTCGGAGTTTCTGACTCAGCAGGTCTGGAGTGGGCCTGAGAGCCTGCTTTTCTAACCAGCTCTCAGCAATGCTAAAGCTCTGGGGTTCGCCCCAAGTAGTGAGGGTCCTCAGAACCCAAGTCCCTCACATGACACCCCACACACAACCATACCCTCACTGCTACCCCTCCAGGACCCCTCAAGGCACACAAGTGACCCCCCTGTGACCAGCCAACAAAGAGAACTCGCCTTAAATTTGTTGAGCAGCAGCTTCAGGACCTGCGGGGTGGTCATGGTGCTGTTGATGCGGACGTTGGTGACGGAGCCATAGGCTGGTGTGAACACCGACGTCTGTCAATAGAAGAGGGTCCAGTTCAGGGCAGGAGTGGGACAGGGCAGAGGACTACAACCTAGGGGGGTACCAGGCACCATGGCAATAATACTCAGAACATTCTGCCTGAGAGTCCTGACCATCCAGTGAATGGCAGGCTTTGCTGGAAGCAGAGCAGCCTTGGGCCACCTCATTGGGTTCACGCTCCCTGGGTGGAGATGGGGTCACTCAAGTCTGAGCTCACCAAATGACAGGGTTGGGAGGGGGAATCAGACCAGGTAGGCGAGGCCCTCTCTCCAAATCAAGCAGTTGCAAAAACCCTTCCTCTGGGACTTTGGCACCAGCAGGTCTAGACCACTCCCACCATGCACTTTTGGGGCAGGAGTTGAACCAAGCAACAGAAAGAGAAAAGCGGTCTTAGGTGGGATGTGTGGGCACTGCTGCTCCCAGATCTGAAACCTGCAGCTCTGCTTTGGGGACACCCTTCAGCTTAAGAAGTCAGATCATTCACCAGCCCGGAGACACAGCGTACAGGGAGAAGTCACACAGGATCTCTCTGTGTGGAGGGCAGGTTGTGAGGGGGTGTGAGAGGTGGTCGAAAGAAGTGTTTATGGAGCCTTCGAGGCTAGAGTAGAGGTACTTTGCACAGACCCACTGAATTCACCCACTGTCCTAGGGGACACTCATCACGGGCCTTTGAGCCCCCTGACCTGGGGTCCCTTATCCCTCAAAAAGCCAGCAGAGCCAGCAGCCCAACCACCACCGAGACTGAACAGCAACTACTTGGTGTCCTAGGTGTCCCACAGGAGCCAGGTGGCTGCAGCAGCTGTCTGGAGCTCCCCCCAGGGCTGTCTCCTCTCCGAACCCATCCACTCTACCTTGTGGTTGTAGTAGTGGCCATTAATGGAAAAGCGGTGGCGTCTGATTCGCCGCTGGTCGCTGGGTGTCCTCACATTGCCACGGCGACGCACTCCAACATCACTGCGCGTGCGCATCAGCTGTGGGGTATCTTCCTGCAGGGGCTTCAGACCCCTGGAGTCTGAGAGGAAAGGGGAAAATGAGGTCTGCTGGACCCAGCATGTGGCAGTTTGTGCCTGGTCCCCTCTTCATAGCCAGTGCCACAGCTTCCACTGCCCCTCAGAATACATTTTATCAAAACAGTATCTCCTGCTGGGGTCGGCGTGGGAAACAGTGCATAATTTGAAACATAGTGAAAAGGATCAGAGCACAGACTTCAGAGCCAGGCTCTCCAGGTTCAAATCCCAGTTCTACCACTGCCGTGTCACTGACCGCTCTGTGCCTCAGTTTTCTCACCTATAAAATGGGGGTAATAATAACACCCACGTCATCGGACTATTGGGAGAGTTGAAACGAGCACATGAAGTACCCAGAACTGTGTCTGGCATGGGATAAGTATAATATAAGAGCTTGCAAGAGATTACAGTCTAGCCCAGCTGCCATGGCACAACAGGAGCGCTTGGCTCTGCAATGCTGGAAGCCACATGGAAGGTCAGGGTTCAGTTCCTGGGCCGATCTGTACATACCAGGTCTGCCCATGTGCACCCCACAAGCCTAGCTGGCTGGGAAGATGGGGGGGTCACTGTGTGAGACTCTGTTGAGGATGCTTGTCTTTCTCTCTCTTGAAATAAACCTAAGAAAAAGATACTACAAACTTATTCTGACATAGGCTAAAACACAGATGCACCCTGAAGACATACTAAGTGAAATAAGCCACTCAGAAAAAGACACATACTGTACGGTTCCACTTACACGAGCTACTCAGAGTAATCAAAACCAGAGCCCGAGAATAGAATGGTGGTGGCTGGTGGCTGGAAGAAGGAGGACAAGGGAGTTTGATGGGTGCAGAGTTTCTTGTTTTACAAGATAAAGAGATCTGGAATTGGATGTGGGTACCAGGTGCACAGCAGTATGAAGGTATTTAATACCGCCAAACCTACACTTCAAAATGGTTAAGATGGTCAATTTTACGTTACATGTATTTTACCGCAGTAAAAAATGGGGTGAAAAAAAATAATGCTTGAGACTACATAGATGGAAACATATGGAGCTCCCATGGCATGTTTCAATCTTTAGACATCTCTAAATATAGAATACTGATGTTCACCACATTGTGAAGCACAAGTCCGTTCATTTGTTTTTATTAAAATATATGTCATCCATGTTGTATAAGAGATATTACAAACCGACAAGATCTTTCGGAATTAAAAATGCACACAGCCTCAGAGCCAGTCATTCTGCTTGAAAGACTCTTGCTGAGGCCAACAAATACTTGAATTGCAAATGTGGAAGGCCACTGACTGCAACCTTGTTTGTCGTAGCAAAGACGGAGACACTTCAAATGCCTACCACTCGGGTGTGATGTGATAAATTCTCATTTTTCCATGCCATGGAATACTGCAGAGCTGTAAAGAACACAGAAGTTCTTTATGGGTTTGTAAGAAGCAATTCACAAGATCTCCAAGATAAATAAAAAGAGCCATGTGTAAAACTATAGCACGTGTGTAAACAGGGGAAGAAAAGAAATTACATCCATCCGATCATAAAGGTATGTGGGGGGCATTTGCTTGTGTTTGCAGACACGACCTCAGGAAGGGTGTGCTTGGGTTGTTTTGAAGAGGGTGGGTAAGGTGGGAGACTTTTTGGTTTTTTAGATTTTTGCTATAGGGTACATAAGAAAGAGAAAAAGTGAGAAATCACCCTTCAGGGGTGATGGCTATGTCATGATGCCTTCTCCTTCATTCTCCTCTAGGAATTTTGAGCATGCACACACACACACACACACACACACACACACACACATGCTTGGAGTGTTTTTCAAGCCACCAGATCTGGGACTCGAACCACAGTTGTTCACGGCAAGATCCAGCACTGTAATCACCACACCACCTGCTGGCCTGAGGTGGGAGGCTTTTAATATTCTCCTGTTCATATTTTCTTAATCTTGAGTCATATGAATTTTACAGATTCGAACAAAAAAATGACAGGTGCGACGTCTATCACAGTGGACTGCACACAGTTGGCCTCTAACTGGAGGCTCCTCCCACCACACAGTACCTGTGGGGCTCGGAGTCTGATCGCTCTCGGCCGGTGCATCCACCTCTGAGATCTGAATGTTGGGCATGGTGAGGGGCTTCAGGATGGTGCTGGGGGCAGAAAACAAAGGGAGACATGTAGGTTAGCATCTGTGGGGAGACCCCTACTCCTCCCAACCCCGCTTCTGCACGGGGAACACTTTGCTGTGCCAGACTGGTTACCACACACCTGAGGTGATGAAAGGTGCAGGTGAGCACCCCACGAGGCTGGCCCAGCTCCCAGGCTGAGCAGTGGGTGGGGAGGGAGAGGTTTTTTTCCCAGCACCTGCACAACACAAGCCCCCAATTCATCAAGCCCTGGATGAAGAACGCCAGAGAACAGAACCCGGGATTGACTGCACGGAGCAGTAAGCACATGTGGGTTCCGTGGTTTATTTGGAAAAGCTAATACAAGCCATTTGCTTCTCAGACAGGATTCAGTTCAGAGCCATTTCTACTGGAGAGAGAACTCAGAAATTGCTTCTGGCATCTAAAAGAGTAGAAAGTAACAGGTTGGTTATTACTGGAGTCAGGGCAGCCGTGGAAGTGACACTGATGACAGTGCACCTGGGGTTGCCAGGATAGTGTCCTCAGCCAAGCTGGAGAAAGGGCTGCAAACAGCAGTCCAAGCTAAGGCCTGGGTTTGCCACAATAACTGGCAAATAACTCCTTGAAGCCACAAAGGACAATGGGAGCGGCTCAGATGTTGAAATTCTAGAAAGGACGTGGCCAGAATGGAGAATGCTATTTAACCATGTAGGCTCACCCCATGGTGAGAAGAGGATAGACCTCCCGGGACTCAGTAGAGATAGGCCAGGTGTTCCAGGGATGATAGTTTTAAAGGAAAACAATTAAAATCAAAAACATGACAGAACTTGCCACGGTATAACTGGTAGACCCCTGGGCCCCAGGGTGGGACTCATGGATGATGGACACTTGGCACCTATGATGGCCACTCTCCACTGCCTGGTCCAAAGCACTTGTTCTTGCTGAAGTGGAAACTAGTCTCAGCATCCTTCTTTTTTTTTTTTTTGGAGAGATTTTCACTATAGGGTGCATGCACTCGCCAGACAGACAGAGAGAGACATAGAGACAGAAAGCAAGAAATCACCCCTAGGGGGGATGGTCACGCCGCAATCGCTTCTCCTCCATTCTCCCCTTGGGATCTTGGGCACGCACACACACACGCCCGGCGTGAGTTTTAAGCCACTGGGTCCGGGACGCGAACCTCAGTCAACTATGTGGGAGTCCAGCGACATAGCCATTACACTAACTGCTGGTTCCCTCAGCATCCTTCTTCACACAGTGGTCCGGGCATTCACTTTATTACAGCTGGCATCTGGGATGGCATCATTTACCACCCCTGAAACTGCCCAGACAAGGCTATCTTGATCCTCAGGAAAGGAAGAAGACAAGAGTGTGCAGAGTGAAGGCCCCAGCCAAAGGCCACCCAGTCACAAGGAATTTTAGCAAAATCATCTCATTTAGGGAATGGAATGTGACATCTGGGGTCAGGGTTGGGCTGTGAAAATGGTATGGCCCATTGGAAATCAAATACAGTGGAAGTCCTGAAAGCAAACAGAGTGCAAATCACTATAGGGTGCATGCACTCGCCAGACAGACAGAGAGAGACATAGAGACAGAAAGCAAGAAATCACCCCTAGGGGGGATGGTCACGCCGCAATCGCTTCTCCTCCATTCTCCCCTTGGGATCTTGGGCACGCACACACACACGCCCGGCGTGAGTTTTAAGCCACTGGGTCCGGGACGCGAACCTCAGTCAACTATGTGGGAGTCCAGCGACATAGCCATTACACTAACTGCTGGTTCCCTCAGCATCCTTCTTCACACAGTGGTCCGGGCATTCACTTTATTACAGCTGGCATCTGGGATGGCATCATTTACCACCCCTGAAACTGCCCAGACAAGGCTATCTTGATCCTCAGGAAAGGAAGAAGACAAGAGTGTGCAGAGTGAAGGCCCCAGCCAAAGGCCACCCAGTCACAAGGAATTTTAGCAAAATCATCTCATTTAGGGAATGGAATGTGACATCTGGGGTCAGGGTTGGGCTGTGAAAATGGTATGGCCCATTGGAAATCAAATACAGTGGAAGTCCTGAAAGCAAACAGAGTGCAAAGCCAGCAAAGTTAGATGAAACTAAAGAACCGTGACCTGAAATCCTAGAGCCCAGTAGGGTGGGCAATAGCTTTCCTCCTTAAATTCCCTTGGAAAGAAACCAGATCAGCCTCGGTCTGGCCACACTGCAGGTTTCTATCGATTGCAGAGAAAGATAGAGCTGGCTGTGGAGGTTAACAAAACCTTCCGTGTGGCCGGTAGAGAGGGTGGGGTTCTCATTTAAACTTGGAAAAACATCCCTGTGGTTTTGGCTGAGAGGCCAGCAAGCTCCACCCAGGCTTTGGCCTAAAGGCAGTTAGCATCAGCAAGTTTCAGGGGGAACGAGGCTAGTCACTTGACCCTAAAAGCTGAAGTCCCAGAGAGACGATGCAAAGGGTGGGTCTTGCTGGAGCAACCGGCTGCTAATGTGGCCTTGGAAAACAGAGAGAAATGGCCAGTGGGAACTGGAGAAGGGGCCCTCCCAGGCTACTGACTATCACACTATGACCTGATCCCAGAGTGACCCGAGGGGAACAGACTCCCCGCCAACCTCACTTCAGTACCTCTGCCAGGCCTGCCCTGAATGTCTCTAAGCAGGGCTATTCTCTCTCTCTTTTGTTCCTTTCTTAGCCTTGCTATGGGGCATGTGAGCTCACCAGAGAGAGAGACAGTGAAAGAGAGAGAGAACGTGAGAAATCACCCCCCAAGGGGGTGGCCACATGGCTACACGCAATCCTTTCTCCTCCATTCTCCTCTAGGGATTTTGGGCAAGTACACACAGGTGCCAGCATGTTTTTCAAGCCATTGGGTCTGAGACTTGAATCATGGAGTAGACCATGTGGGATTCAGCCACTTTCACCAAACCATCTAGCTGGCCCAAAGCAGGGCTCTTCTATGAGTGTGGGGAGGATGCTGGCCATTGGGCGCCCTATCAGGAATCTGGAGGCTGGGTCTAACTAGCCACCGACATCACTCTTTCTGCTGAGACTCTAGAATTCTCCATGAGGGAGGACGTGTGTCACCCAGGTCTTGGTGAGCCCTCTCTGACTGCGAGCCTCCCCTCCTCATCTGCCCTCACTCTGTGGCTGTGGTGAAGGGACAGAGGCCCAATTACCACCATCCACCCTTCTCCCCTCATTTCAAGCTCAACGTAGGTGGGCAGTGGAGGTGGCAGGAAGAAGGGCTTGGATCCAGGTGGCTGCAAGAAAGTTGGCATTTATTGACTTGAGAACACACAGAACCCCCAGGCACCCCAGTCTTCCCAGCCCAGCTCTGCTCACTCACCCCTGCGCCCCCAAGTTACAGCCGGAGTGCCAAGAGGAGGAGGACGGAGGGGGACGGATGCGCTCATTGTCATCCTGCATCTGCAGACGGATGGGCCGGCGTAGCCCCCAGGAGATGTTGAGCAGCCCTTCCACAATGAACTCGTCTTCTTCCTGCCCACAAAGTGACCAGCACAGTGAACCCAGAAAAGCCCCGCAGAAGCCAGCGCCATGCTGGGGGACAAATGACAACATCCTTCACACATGTCCTACCTGGGCACACCCAGACTGTATTTGCAGGGGAGAGGGCAGCTACCCAGTCCATGCCCCAGCTCTCAGACATACTCCACTATAAACGACCTGGAGACCCTGAAGCTGACCTCATAGGCCAAAAGTGGCTGTGAAATTCACATATACAAGAGCACATTATAAAAACTTTCTTCCCCCCTCAAGTGTTGTAGGTTTACCAGAGACAGACAGAGGGAACGTGAAAAAAAGTCACACACATCCCCCAGAGTGGATGGCCACACTGCAATCCCTTCTGCCTTCTTCTCTTCTTGGGATTTTGGGCGTGCATGAACATGTGCCTGGCATCATTTTCAAGCCACCAGGTCCAGGACTCGAACCACAGTCCACTATGTGAGAGCCCAGCACTTTAACCACCATGTTACCTGCTGTCCCCTAAAAAAACATTTTTTTAAAACTTTTCACTACTGATTTTAAAGGAAGCAGAATGGCTCTCTCAAAATAAGTTAGACGGTCAGATCACGTGCAAGTGCCCAAGATCTGATGGGCCAGAGGCCTGGAGAAGGGGGATCATGGCATGACCAGACCCTGCAAAGGCCCTGCTTTCCTTCTCTCTTTCACGTGTGTGTGCACGTGCCCTGTTGTGAGTAAAGAGGAAAAAAAAAATCTTAGTAAAAGAGACTAGCAAAAGGAGATTAAGCCTCCCAATAAATCTTTTGAAACACACAAAAATAAGCAAATGAGACAAGCCTTGCTAACAAAAGCAAAAACTGAATTCTTGAATTAGCTACATTCCCCTCCCCTACTATGTAAAGTGATAAATCTTTATCTATAACACATGTTTAACAAAGCGACCAGCTGGTTAAAGGAGATTTAAAGCAACATTCCCCCCAAGTTTTTCCTAAATACTAGGTCTTCTAGCACATGAACTGTTGCCTTAAAAGGGTATTAAGTGAGGCCAGCAGATGGCCTGGTGGCTAAGGTGCTGGACTCCCACGTGGCCGGACTCCCACGTGGCCGACCACAGTTGAGTCCCAAACCTGGTGACTTGCCTTTTCACTTCCTCACTTTCTCTCGGTCTCTCTCTCTCTGGTGAGCACATGTGCTCTAATGCAAATTTTTTAAATAACTGTAATAAAATTACATAAATACTTTTTAAAAACATGTCAAGTGATCACAAGCTGAGCAATGCCACGTTAATCACATTTCTTAACGGCAGAAATTCCCAGAGCCTCTAAAGAGCTAACGTGCTACGTTTCGACTCACCAAGAGGTGAATAAATCCTGCAGGAATTCCAAATTTATACTCAAAGTTTGTTGACTAATAGGTCAAATGACAAACCCTTCTAAAGACATTTATTTATGATCATGAGACCTTTAATCATGGAACACTTTGAGAATATATTCTATATCCCAGGAAAGCTATTTAAGGATCCGAATTTTGCGAATGGCCCAGCCACTGGTGAGTAAAGCTTTGAGGATAATATCAAAAAGGTCAGGCCTCCCCAGTCTCTTTTTTTTTCTTTTTTTGGAGAGGTTTTTGCTATAAGGCGTGTACGCTCGCCAGACAGAGAGAGACATAGAGACAGAAAGCGAGAAATCACCTCCCAGGGGGGATGGTCACGCCGCAATCCCTTCTCTTCCATTCTCCTCTCGGGATCTTGGGCACGCACACACACGCGCCCGGCGTGAGTTTTAAGCCACCGGGTCCAGGACTTGAACCACAGTCGACTATGTGGGAGTCCAGCGACATAGCCATTACACTAACTGCTGGTCCCCCCAGTCTCTTTTTGAACCCACACTTTATGGATAGGACCCATGGGTGTCAGACCTGGGTCATGGACACGTCTTCAGAGGAAGGCCCTGGGTGAAGATGACACCTATCCAAACAGCAACTACACAGGGACGACAAGGTATCCTTAGACAGGGAGGGGGATAAAAGGGAGCAGAAGCAACTTTCGGGCATTTGGGGATCCTGGGGCGAAAGGCTTTATGTAAGCACAGGCTAAACATATGGCCTCCAGCTGCTCCAGGCAGGCATCGTTATCTTGTACAATTACAGGACAGATTTTAACCTAAAATAGGGCTTTGCCTAAGTCATGTGATTTGAGGGACACAGAAAAGACCACTGCATCCTACATATTATCCCCAGCTGGCCTGCTTTAGTAGCTGAAATTCCACCATCTGCTATCTGTATCAATGGATCAAATCGCCATGGCTTGATAACTGAAAGAGGGTTTGGAAGGGTATTATACATACTGTCTTATCAGTCAAAAATGCTTGAGTATAAATTACTCTCCCAGGCTCCTTTACAACTTCCCATCTATCCAATAACGAGCTTTCCAGAAATAGATACAAGATGAGTGAGCTTAAACTTGGGCTGGGGGCTGTGGAAGGTCAGACAGCTAACAGAGGGCATTCCCAGAAGGCAGTCCAGGAAGGTGGCTGCAGATCCAGGAAAGGGCCAAGGGTTACCGCCCAGAGTATGATTTGCCCCAGTCACTGCAGCAAGAGGACTTGGGCCTGCCTACATAAACACAGAGGATGGGAGAGGTTCCTGAATTGCCCAGCAAGAAGAAGCCTGTTGAGAACCATCAGAAAGGGTCATTTCATGAACTCTTCCCTCAAGGCTGTGCCAGCCCTGTCACACATCTGCAGAGATGTCTCTAGAACAGAAAAAGATCATTCTTTCTAGAACAAAACTGGACCTGGAGGGAACCAGCAGTTAGCGTAATGGCTATGTCGCTGGACTCCCACGTAGTCGACCGCGGTTTGCGTCCCAGACCCAGTGGCTTAAAACTCACGCCGGTGCATGTGCGTGTGTGCCCAAGATCCCAAGAGGAGAATGGAGGAGAAGGGATTGTGGCGTGACCATCCCCTCTGGGGGGTGATTTCTCACTTTCTGTCTCTATGTCTCTGTCTGTCTGGCGAGTGCATGCACCCTATAGCGAAAACCTCTCCAAAGAACCCTGAGGATGGCTGCTAATATCCTAAATGAAATGCCATTCACTGTAGCAGAAGGGACAGGAACCTCAGGGACCTCAGAGTCCCTCAGACCCAGGACACATAGAGATAAAGACCCTGCTGGCCCACCAGGGCAGGAGCCTCACAGACTTTCCCAGGAAACCCCTTACCTCTCGGTGCCGGAGCTGCAGATTCTGGCCCTCATAGTACAAGTTGTAGGTCTTCAGATGTAGGAGAAGTTCATTCCTTATGGGAAAAAAAGAAGAGCGGTAACCCTCTCCGATGAAGTCACTTAGAAGCAGCTGTTTTTTTTCCTTTTTCTCACCTCTAATCTGGCCTTTGGTCATCAGACTTTTGGTATTTGTCTACATGCACACACATGGAGCTCTGCCTCCACCACCCCATCACCACTTTCCCCAGGATCATGACCAAGAGTGAGTACCACCCAGCCAGACTGAGTGCAGGACACCAGGACAGGCCCATGCTGAGGAAGGCCAGCAACTATGACAGCACTCCCCCAACCCAAGCTGAATAGACAGACATTACAAGTCAAGGGTTCATAGCGACAAACACACTTTAATGCCCGGAGGCCAGACAGGTTTCCCTGGCCTCTCCGGGGCCTTTCCTCCCTCATGCATGCCACTCATCATCACAAGACTCAGAAACTTCTAGGCTTTTCAAAGGCTAAAAGTGGGGGAGGGGAGGGCAACAAATGGCATGGTGGTTAAGGCACTGGATCCCACATGGCCGACTCCGCAGTTTGAGTCCCGGGTCCAGCGGCTCGAAAAACTATGCTGGGTGAGTGTGTGTGTGTGCCCAAAATCCCAGGAGGAGGAGAATGGAGAGAAGAAATTGTATTGTGGCCAGCCCCCCTGCGGGTGATTTCTTACTTTCCCTCTCTCTGTCTCCTTCTAGCTAGCCCACATGCCCTATGGCAAAAAAAAAAAGATTAAAAGGGACAGTTTTGAGCCACAATTGACTTATTCCTCACAGACATGTCCTTATCATTTGTTTAAAAGCTTATAAACTCGGGGGGGAGGGGGAATAAAACTTATAAACTCGGGGCCAGCAGATGGCGTAATGGCTATGTCACTGGACTCCCATGTAGTCAAACACGGATCAAGACCTGAACCCGGTGGCTTAAACTCACACCAGGCATGTGTGCGTGCATGCCCAAGATCTCAAGAGAAGAATGGAGGAGAAGGAATTGCAGTGTGGCCACCCCCTGGGGAGTGACTTCTCGCTTTCTGTCTTTCTGTCTCTCTGTCTCTCTCTGTCTTTCTGGTGAATGCACGCACCCTATAGCAAAAAGCTCTCCAAATCAAAAGGAAACGCTTATAAGCTCCCATCAACAGTGAAGTGAATGAATGAAGGGAGAGGGTCACATGGCAGAATACTACGCAGTGGATAGAATAGGGAAGAGCCGCACATACATGGATGGCTCTCCCAAGTATGTAGAGTGAAAGAAGCCAGACACGCAGAGGACATACTGACTGATTCCGTTTACACGAAGTTCAAAATTGGTGTTGGGAATCAGGATAGTGGTTTATGTTGGGGAGTGATTACAAGTGGGGGGGCTTCTGGGCCCCAGCAATATTCTATTTTTGATATAGGTGCTTTCAGTTCATAATTTTTTTTTTAAATCTAATAACTCTCCACCCCCTTCCTGCTATCAGGCCTTCTTAGCAGGAAGATACTGATTTCCACGTAGCTACCCTGGGAACGCAGCTCTGCTGAACAGGGCCACAGAGATTCTCCATCAGGGAAGGCCCTTGTTCCGCCCGAGAATACACCGGGCACATTTAAGCCAACGGTACCTGCTCTTTACTCCCTGCAGGCCAAGGGGGAGAGGCTGAGGACAGTGCCGTGTCACTGTCCGTTCTCAGGAGGTAGCAGAGTTTGGTTTCCCAGCCAGGCAATGGAGAAACTTTGGACCATACCAGAAGTCAAAACCCGTCAGAAATTCCAAAAAACTCCTGACAAGTTAAGCCTAGATAAACTGGAGTAATTCTACGCAAGCTAAAACTAATTAGTGGAAAATGTGATTCCAGATAACCTAAAACAAAAAGGCGTTGCTACATTTGAACAGATCTGAAACCAGGAGTAATACCGATGGTCCAAGTTCCTGGAGAAATACTTACTTTTTATTTAAAAAAATTTTCATTTAACTTACTTTATTCATTATTATTATTATTTTAATTTGACCAGAGAAAGAGAGAGAGAGAAAGTGAGAGAGAAAGTGAGACTGTAAGCCGCCAGGTCCGGGACTCAAACCATGGTCAGCCATGTGGGAGTCCAGTACCTTAACCACCATGCCACCTGCCAGCTCGAAATTTTTTCAATAAAGAGATAAAAATGATCCAGATCTCTCATGACAAATGTCTGTATGACACGTGTGATTCTGGGCTTAAAATAATTTAGTCTGAGGTAAAATAAAAAGTTACTTAGAGAGCACTCAGTATGCAAAATCCCTGTGCTGGACATAAAAATATGTAAATCCTTAAACATACAATTTGAAAAAAGTCACATTAGCAAAAACAAGTCCGAGTTCAAGAGACTTCAGTGTTCAGAAAGCAGTGAACCGGCCTCCTTCTGTTCCGAGGGCACCTGTGGTGGTGGTAACAGAGCACAGCGGCCCAGGGACACAGCACTTCAACAAGACTCCCAGGGACACCACAGATAGGACAGCGAGCACCATCTGAACAATCGGGCTGCTGGGACATGCCGCTGAGGAGCTGCTGAGAAACAACAGAAATCCATTCTTACAGTTGTGGAGGCTGGGAAGTCCAAGGTCGGAGTGCTGGCAGACTGTCTGGGGAGGGCTCCATTCCCACAGACAGCACCTTCTTGCTGTGTCCACATGGTGGAAGGGTGAGCAAGCTCCCTTGGGTTTTTATATAGGGGTATTCAGGACCCAGTTACTTCCGAAAGGCTCACTTTTATTTTGAAATTAATTGCCAGAGTGCATATGTGCTTGCCAGAGGTTGGGGTGGGGAAGAAAGCACCCTCTAATGGGGCATGGTCATGTCACAATCCCTTCTCCTTCATCTCTCCATCTTGCTGGGATCTGAGGCATGCACACACATGTACCTGGAGTGTTTTTTAAGCCAGGATTAGAATCGCAGTTAACCACTAAGTTACGGGGCCAGTCTGGCCTCACCTCTTAATACAATCACCTTGGGGATTAGGTAGGTTTCAACATACAAATTTAGGGAAGACACAGACATTCACATCATAGCAAGAAGTCACCAGCCAACTCTTCCTCCTGGAAGCCTTCTAAAAACCACCTCTCATAAGTCCCTAAAGGTGCTGCATCTTGACTCCCCCTTTATTTCACTCTCCAGATCAGGCTCTGAGGGCATGCTTTTATCCATAACAGCTGCTTTGCTGAAGCTCATACTAGTCTTCTCATACACAAGAGCTCCAGTTCCCCGATGCACAGAGAAGGCCCCTCTGTCATTGGCTTCCATCCACCCACAGCATCCCAATATGGACTGGCCACCGGGAACACAATGCTTTAGCAAAAAATCTTACTTGGAAATATATTTATCTTGTCCACATGGGACTAGGGAAGTTTGGTGACTGTAGTCCATTCTTCTTTTTGTTTTTCATCAGAAGGAGAGGCCTGTATTTGAAAGGAGAAGACGGAAGTTAAGCCAGGTTGTATCTGGTGGGGCTCAGCAGATGGCTCTCAGCACCCCAGATCCACCACTCGGGCTGCCCAATGCTGACCCAGGGCTGGGAGGTGTCACACTGCTGGCTGCTGCCTCTGCTTGCTGCAGCCTCTGAGAAGTGCCCCATGGAAAGATGACAACCCTTGGACAGTCCGAGAGCAAATGTCCCAGCCACAGGGCCTGTTGACACCAAAGTTGGTCCCAAGAATGACAAATAAGCATCCGTTCATCCTGAAGAGACTTTCACAATAACAAATAGACAGTTCAGATTTTACTGATGTATATTGAAGATGGGTAAAACATTTGAAAATGTCCAACTATAGCTGGGCCTGATAAGTTACAGCATATATGTCTACAGTCGCTATTGCTACATGATCATGTGAAAGGCACTTAATCATTTGGGAATACATTATGAAAACACAGGTTATAAAACTGAGTCAGATTTTGCTTAAAATATATGTAAGTACAAAAGATGCAAATATATACATATTTATATGTATGAAATTCATGTGTGTGTGTGTATATATATATATATATGCATATATATATATGCATATATATATATATATATATATATATAGAGAGAGAGAGAGAGAGAGAGAGAGGATGGTTTCTCGGCACTGTTAAAATCTGGGCCTGAGCCAATCTTTTTTGGGGGACCATCATGCATTTGAGGGTGCATCCTTGGCCTCTACCCACAGATGCCAGCAGTACTGTCCCAGTCATAGAGTTCAAAAATGTCTCAAGATGTTCCTTAAGTGTCCCCAGAAACAAATCTGCCTCTAGTTAAGAACCACTAAATGGAGGCTGGCAGGTAGTGTGGTAGTTAAGGCACTGACTGTGGTTCAAGTCCTGGACCTGGTGGCTTGCTTTCTCCACTCTGTTTCTCTTGGGTCAAATTTTAAAAATAATAATAATAAATACAATTAAACATAATAATTATTTTAAAAAGAGCATACACACACAGACACAGACACACACACACACACACACACACACACACATGCAAATGAATGAAAAGCTGGCTCCATCTGGATAATGGCATTCCCAGAAATTTTTTTCAAACAATTTACTATGAGAATTTTCAGACATAAAGATGAAGAAATGTGGCATGTGCCCATGGCTATTCTATCCTGAACAGCTTACTGTACATAATCTAACTCGTATCTGTCCATCTGTGCATGCCTCGATCCTGTCATCAACCCACGTTATTTTTGACGTACTTCAAAGTAAATTGCAAACATCCATCACTTTCCCTTAAATTCCTCAGCATGCATGTCATCAAATTGAGCACAACATTCATTTATAGTGCTGGCGATTTTTTTTAAACTTGACTTTACTGTATTTTCTGTACTATCAACCATTACCTGACATATATAATTGAACAAACGGGGTTAGTGTCTCCAAGGGAGAGAGTGGGGGGCCGGAGGCTGACATCTGCAGGGAAAAGGTAGTCATGTCCAGAGCAAACAGAGCCTTTGCTGTCTCCATCCAACGGCCAAGGGTTTGGGGAGGTCATAGGGGACTAGGGACTCAGATGCAGAAGAAGGTGCCCCCCGCCCACTCACCAGATACTGACCTCTCCCTTCTTCACGTCTAGGCAAAAACTAAGATGGAAGCGTACGCTATGAGTCAACATGAACAAGAGACAAAAAAATAGACTAATGGTTGTTGGGGGAGTGGGAGAGGAGGACGAGGAATTATTGTTTAATGAGTACAGGGCTTCAGTGTCGTAAGAAGAAAAGAGTTCTAGAGATGGAGGGGTCACGGCTGCACAACCATGTGAAGCTCTACACGTAACACCACTGAACTGTACCCTTAAAGGTGGTTCCAATCGTGGGACTAGCAGTTAGCATAATGGCTATGTTGCTGAACTCCCATGTAGTCGACTGCGGTTCGCATCCCGGACCCGGTGGCTTAAAACTCACGCCGGGCGTGTGTGCGTGCGTGCCCAAGATCCCAAGAGGAGAATGGAGGAGAAGGGATTGCAGCGTGACCATCCCCCCTGGGGGGTGATTTCTCACTTTCTGTCTCTCTGTCTCTCTCTGTCTGTCTGGCGAGCGCACGCGCCCTATAGCAAAAAACAACCTCTCCCCCTTCCCCCCCAAAAAAAGATGGTTCCAATCATAAATGTGACGTGTACTTGACAACCATTTTAATAAGACAGTGAAAGCGGGAGGCAGACGAGCCAGCATTACAGTATACCATGTGTTACGGTTTGTCTCCCAAAATTTCAAATTTTGGAATTTGATGTGGGGAGGCGATGGAGCCTAGTGGGTGGTGATTAGATCATGTAAAGTGAAGGCATTAATGATGTCTCTTGAGACCCAGTGACTTAGTGCTCATGCAAAGGAATTAATGCTGCTAGATTAGCCCTAGGGCCCCAGGGTGAGGATGGTGAGGACTGAGATGCAGCGTCACTGTCACATTTCCTGCGGTGAAGAATTCTCATGCGCTGCATTTGCAAGTGGCCCATGGAACCTTCCAGGGCAGACCCTGAGCAGCACGGCCAGGAGAGCAAGTGCTGGCCAGTGTGGTCAGGACAGCAGATGAAGTCACCGGGAGGAGCCGAGAGGGCAAAGGGGACTAGGCAGTCGGTCAGGATGGGCAGAGAAAGCAGAGTGCCCAGAGGAGGAGGAGGGTAAACAGGAGACATGGCTCCCCAGGAGCCCAGAAAATGGGGTACCTGGAGAAGGAGACTGTGGTCGGCAAGCCAGGAGCTGGCAGAGCGAACCCAAGGCAGGGAGACCAGAGCAGCCCTGGATTTAAACCATGTGAGGGTCACGCGGCACATCTGCCAGAGCTGAGTGGAAATCCGCTTAGCGGGGCCTGCCCCTGGCTGGCCTTCTCACCCTGAATACTAGAGTCTTTCTTCAGTGAGGAAAAATGTTATTCTGCTCTTTCTTAATTTCTCCTCTTGCTTCCATTCTTGGTTCTTCACCTGTAATCTTCCTTCTCTTTCTCTTAGCAGTATCTATCCACTATTGTAGCTATTTTCCAAGTCTCATATGATTTTTTAAATTTTTATTTATTTATTTATTTTCCCACACTTACCACAGAGGAAGAGGGGGAGAAAGTGAGAAAGCAAGACACCAGGTCCAGGACTCGAACCATAGTCAGCCATGTGGGAGTCTGGCATTTCAACCACTATGCCAACAGCTATCTCTTTTGTTTTTCCTCAGAATTCTCAAGCTAATCTTCTAATTCATGGATTGAATTTTTTGTAGGGCCTTTCCTTTATTCACTGTCTCCATCAGAACCTATAATTTGGTAAATTTTGTCTTGCCTTTGAAAGCAATCTGCATTTAAGACAATTCCCTTTTGCTACCATATCTTCTTATATCTACTGAAGACACTAATTTAAGTCTTCGCTATAGCTATTAAAATTATGTGGTACTAGAGCAAAAATAGGTTGATCAATGGAAACAATATGGTGTACTGAAATAGACCTATGTATATCTGGGAACCTATACGCTGATTATAAGTAGCATTTCTAAATAACAAGGGAAGATGAAGATTCATTTTTAAATGTCTCTGGAGAATTGATTGGCCTTTGAGAAGGAGAAGATGGAGACACAAAATTTCTACCTGACTTCTTTGCCAAAAGAAATCATAGACAAATACAAAATTTAAACATTAGGGCCAGCCAGATGGTGTGGTGGTTAGGGCACTGGATTCTCACATGGCCAACTGCAGTTCAAGTCCCAGACCTGATGGCTTGCTTTCTCACTCCCTCCTCCCCCCAACTCTGGTGAGTGCACATGACCTATGGCAAATTAAAAAATAACAATGATAATAAATAAAATTAAATAATTTTCTTAAAAAAATTAAACATTAAGAAAAAAAAAAACTCTTGGACCCAGCAGGTACTATGGAGGTTAATTCAATTAGGTCTCACATAACAACTCCACAGTTCAAGTCTTGGACCCAGCAGCTTGAAAAATCACGTGACTCAGGTATGTATGCACGTCTCAAATCCTGAGAGAAACAGAGAAGTGATTGTAGCATGGTCATCCCTGCTAGGGGGTGGTTTCTCATTTTCCCTCTCTGTCTCTGTTTCTGTCTCTCTCCAGTGAGAGTATGTGCCCTATAGCAAAAACTAAACAAACAAAAGAAGACATCCCACGGGGTGCTTTTCTCACTCGCTCGCTGTCTCTCTCTCTCTGTCTCACTCTTCCAGTGAGTGCATGGCCCCTTTAAAAAAATTTTTAAAAAAGAACGCTGAGCCTGCCCTGTGGTGCGGTGGTTAAGCACGGTGCACTGGAGGCCAGATCCTACATGGCCAACCACAGTTCAAATTCCAGTCCCTGTGGCTTGAAAAAGACACTGGGAATGGGAGGGCTGGGAAGCAGCAGATGGTGTGGTGGTTGGGGCACTGGACTCCCACATCGCTGACTGAGGTTTGAGTCCTGGACCAAGCAGCTTGCTTTCCCTCTTTTCCCACTTTCCCTCTTTTTCTCTCTCTGGTGAGCACACATGCCCTGTAGCAAAGTAAAGAATAATAATAACGATAAATAAAATCAAATAAATAATTCTAAAAAATAGAAGAACCACACCCTAGGTGTATGTGTATGTGTGCACAAAATCCTGATGGAGGGACAGAGAAAAAGGATTATGGCGTGACCACACCACACCCGCTTGGGAGGGGCTGTTTCTCTCTCTCTCTGTCAAGAACATGCACCCTTTGACAATAAAAAAAAGTACTGGGACCAGCAGTTAGCTTAATGGCTATATCGCTGGACTCCCATGTAGTCAACCGCGGTTCGAGTCCCGGGCCCAGTGGCTTAAACTCACGCTGGGCACATGTGCATGTATGCCCAAGATCCCAAGAGGAGAATGGAGGAGAAGGGACTGTGGCATGGCCATCCCCCCTGGGGGGTGACTTCTCGCTTTCTGTCTCTCTGTCCTCTGTCTCCCTCTGTCTTTCTGGCGAGTGCACGTACCCTACAGC